ATACAGTACAAGTTGAAGTACGTAGATCTGAACTCGGTGCCCCAATGCATTCGCTAGGAACTCTCTGACACTTCGAGCTTAAAGGTAAGATTAGCAAGTCACCAATCCAACAAATAGACCAGTTCAAATGTACTTGTCCGCTGGAGATGTGCTTTATTTATTTTATCCATTTAAAAAGCGTAAAATTGGGTAAAAGTATCGATATTTTTGTGCTATTCGATAACTGAAAATGGATATTGCAAATCCTAATATAAAGCGACTATCTGAGTTTTTAGTGATCAAAAATCATGTCCATTCACCTTTGAGAATCATTTTGATTCACGTTTTTCGTGTCTATTCATTTTTTACTTTAGACTGTCAGTGGATTTGGATAAGTGACGATGGACCTGTTACCCTTGGTACACCAATCACCTTCACAGCTTACAATTCTTATAAACCTGATGCCTATGAGCCATCACTTGAATACAAATTCAAATTTGACCAGTTTCCTCAACATGATAAAACCATTATCTTTACTAGATATGGCGTTGAATACACAATAACATTTGAATCTTCTTCAACAGTTAAACCTGGCAACTATACCGTGCAACTCGATGTTTGGCAATGTCATCTCGGTGTCCCTTCTTATTCGTTAGGAGCTGTTAATTCCACCTTCCAGCTTACAGGTAACGTTATTGAATCATCAATCCATTAATATGAACTAAAACCTATTAATATCTACCTTCTTATTCAAAGTTGATATCTTCTGATCTACTTCTAATACAACCATAATTGTGCTCCTATTTGAATATTCAGGAATAGTCGGAATATTCAGAATAGATTTTCTTACAATTTTCCAGAACTAATTAGCAAATCAAAGATGGTTAAATAATAACCTTTAATGAAATTAAATCAAGGTAAAATTAAATTGAAGTGCAATCACTCTTAGAGAATGAAAATCATCAAGATTTTAGTTGACCCAATGATCCTAACCTAGCATTCATTTTTACTAATTTCATCGTTTACGCTACTTTTAAGTTAAAAGAAATGTAGGCTTTGAAATCGAAATTTTTCATTAAAAAGATTTCAAATTAGATACAATGTTGCGCCCATAATCTACATTTATCGTTCTTGCTAGGTTACCCACAACAAAACTTTGACCAATTTATTTCACTTGTTACTTGGTTATTTGACTATTTGGAAATGTAAAATTTTCAAATTTAAGTAAAGTTCGAAAAAGTTTTTGCGATTTAAAAGTTTGACTGCAACACCCTTTTTATCGATTTTTCTAGATTCACTTGTTGGATTTATAAAAAAAGATCAAGAATATGATCATTGTTTTGGTATGGAAAGGTTGAGAGTAGGAGAAATTTCTCATTCTTCAGTTGTTTATACTGAAATGCCAGTTATACTGATTGCCGTTACTCGTGATCCTAAAGGATATTTCATGGGACGATGTGGAATCCCGTCAGCCAATGTAACTTATAAATGGATTATTAATGATGCAGTACAAGAGGGAAGTTCTAAGGTTATTATTCATACTTTTTCTCAGCCTCAATCGAACAACATTTCAGTGATTGTTACAGCAACTAAAACCATTGGAAGTCGTATCATACAAAAATCTGGTTCATTCAACCTTACATTGAAAAGCAAAGTTACAATTACTGCTTTAACTGTTGCTGGAAGTTTACATCCCTACGATTGAATCATTTTTTATACACAATAATAATTCAAGAGTAATTGAGTAATGTAAAAGAGTAATTCTTTATATATATCAATATTTATATATCAAATGAGCCTAGTTTTGGGATAGATGGACTAAGGACTGTCTATTGTCTGTAATCACACCAGTTATATGTAAAGACAAGGCATATGAATAAATTTCAACAGACCCTAAAAGTGAATATCAGATGTGCAAGTAGAAGGTTATCTGGGTGTGTAAGTGTTCAGGGTACTTCCCGATGAACATATAATACAATCAATATAACACTAATTTTATTTTTAAAAATAACAAGCTGAGCCCCCGATCATGGCTGATCGTAAATTTCTTTTCACTGAATACAATAAATTCAATCCACATTTAAAGACTCTTTAAACTTTTTGTTCTTAGCCACTTTGACAATCCACTTTTGATTTACTGTGATTGCATAGCTTATACTCTTTGCTCTTATTCCTGTCATTCATTCGCATGCAGTTTTTCGCCATTTCAAAATGTTCTAGTTTTGTTGATAATTTACGCCAGAAAAAACGAAGAGTAAAAATCATAAATTAGTCATTTAACTGAATCATTTTTTATACACAATAATAAAAGAGTGATTCATTAAAATGTATTCATATATCGAATCAACCTGGTGTCGATGGAGCCAATGACTGTCTTGTGTTGGTTCCTCCAGTGGTATGCTAATTGATGAACATGAAGGTGGTTTATAAAGACAGTTAATTCATTGGCAGCATTCAAATTTTTATCCAGTTTACGTTAGATGAAAAAAAGGATTGAATGTAGACATTGAATTGAGCTGAACGGAGACAAGGACCGAAGGGAATCGAAAGAGATTTTGATGTTAACCAGAAGATTTTACTGTTTAACCAAAAATGGAAAGTCACGTTTGGAACTGAATTCCCATATCTTGCCAGGCTGAGATGTAAATAATTGACAAAGCCAGGGTCAATTAATCTGGCCAATACAGAAGTGACATTACAGTAAAACATTTGATACTAAAAGATTCATCTTTTCTGAAGAGTAACATCAAAAACTATGGCAAGTTTTATCAAAATTGCTGTGAGTTTTCTCGATTTGTCTCGCGCGGTCACAATTGAGCTTTAAAGATAAAACACGCGAATGATTAATTTAGATACACCTAGTACTATTTTCGACTTTTGCTTTACAGTGATCAAAACTTTCATCTTGTTAAGAATCAAATAAAGTCTTCAAATGCCTTGCATTACTTTTTTGTAGCAACTTTTTTCTGGGTCGCCATCTAGTGTGGGTTACCTATACAGCTAGCCCAGGTCATAACCGCTTATAAACACTAACATGCAGCTGTCATCGGAGTTTTGTTATGAAAATTGTTTGAAAAAAACTTTCATTTAAACATTGTTCAAGTGCAAAGCATCTATAACTTCAGTTCAACCATGAGAAGTTTATCATCATTTTTCATTTTGTGTATTGTCTTATCCATCAATGGAATGAGTAAGTTCAATATGAATTTAATGCAACTATTTATAAACTATTTACGCTACAATTAAAGATATTCATGTTATGTTGTTAATTTTATTAATGAGATATTTCAAAAAGATGTCGTTCTTGGTGTGATCTCAGTAATATTTGATGTCCTTTTTGACGTTTCGCTTGTCTATTCATTTTACTTTCAGTGTATAGCAAGCTTGTTTGGTCACACAACCGAACCTTCCTACTTCACTACGGAGCTGCATCGATTGATACACCAGTCAGATTTTATATTTCAGTTACGAATCACTCTGAATCAAATGACACATCTTATGAATATCGGTTCACATTTGACGAGTTTCCTCAACATGATAAAACCATCGTCTCGACTGAAGGTGATACCATGTACTCAGTGCAATTTGCATCCACTTGTGAACCAAAAGAGGGCAACTATACAGTGCGAGTTGATGTATGGGAATGTCAACTCGGTGTCCAAACTCTTTCGATAGGAGCTGTTAATTCTTCTTTCGAGCTTTTCGGTAAGAATGCGACTCGCCAGGCAAACAGAGATGAGTTGTTTATGGGGTGTACACTAGAGATGTGTGATGTTACCACCATTGGCATTTCTTCCCACGATATTCATCGTTATTTTACACTAAGAAAAGGAGTTAAATTTCGATGAAAAAAATCAAATTTTGTCCTAATCGATATCGGAAAGGGATATTGCCCATCACTATTGTACACTCTAAAATAAATTCGTCATTGGACATTTTATTTATCTAATGTTATGTGCAAACACTTAATCACTTTAGAATCCTTTTGATTCCCGTTTTCTTGTCTATTATTTACTTCAGAATGTAACTATATTGAGATGGGAGACGATGGCCCTGTTACCTTCGATGCCCCAATCACCTTCTCAGTGTTTAATCGTCATAGAGTGGATGATCCATCATATGAATATCGGTTTGCATTCGACCAATTTCCTCAACACGATAAAACCATCGTCTCAACTTCACGCTCAGTTGAATATTCATTAACATTTGAATCTTCTTCAACATCGAAATCTGGTAACTATACAGTGAAAGTTGATATTTGGTTCCTTAGAGTTCCTTCTTATTCCTTGGGAACTGTTCTTAATACTTTCGAGCTTTCAGGTAAAGTTATCGAGATACCAATCCTGCAATGTCGCAAAATTACTATTATAATTGTATCATTTTGCATTTATTTTCTAGACTCACTCATTGGATTTATAGACAAAGACCAAAATCATTTTTATGTACTTCCGATGGATAATTTAGTGGTCACTGTAATGCCAGTTAAACTAACTGCTGAAATTCGTGATCCTACTGGGTTTTTCACCGGACGATGTGGAATCCCACCAGCCAATGTAACTTATAAATGGATTGTTAATGATGAGGTTCAAGAGGGGAACTCTAAGGTTATTGAACGCACTTTTTCCCAGCCTCAACTGAACAACATCTCAGTGATTATTACAGCAACTAAAACCAATGGAAGTCGTACCATACAAAAATCTGGTACATTCAACATCTCTCTAAAAAGCAAGCATCCAATGAATAATTTAACTTTTGATGGTCCCACCGAAGTTAAAGTGTTTGAAAGACATCAACTGGACTTCAAAATTCACGGAGGAACACCTCCATTTCATTATAAATATTTTCTTAGGATGGATGAACCTAACACTGATGTAGCCGTTGCTCGCGACATAAATGAAAGTTATTTCTCGATAATTAATTATTTCAGCGAAAAAGGAACAATAGATTTACATATTGTTCTTAGAAATGAGGTATCGACAATTAGCGAGAGAGTTACTATTAAAGTTCATTAAAGTATTAATATTTCTCACCAAGTCTATGCAATCCAAAGTACATAACTTTTACTCTTTGCTTTTTATCCTATTTTAAAAATTCTTTTTTTCTTCAGTTTAGTGACATTCTTGTTTCAATTGAGGAAAAATAGTTTTTTATGAAAATTCCAAGAAATTGAGTTTCTGATGGTTATCTGAACATTTCAATGTTGGGTTATTTTAGGCGAATTGCACCTTTTCCAACAACTTTGAGGTCAGATTTGAAACCTTTTTATATTTTCAAAGCCCAGGTATGAAGTTGGACAGTTTCGATTGTTTTTTATGTAAGGCAAAATCATATTTTTGACGTGTTTGAGACTAAAAACTTCAAAATTTTTTGATTTTTCATATTTCAGAAATGTTTCAATGTTTCCTTTATTTCAATGGTTTCAATTTTCAAAATAAGCCCTCAATAGGTTTAAACTCTGCAACTGTGTTAAAAGCAACATTTTATCTCCACCTAGTGTGGTTGACCTTTTACAGCAGCCAGGTCATAACCCTCTTGTAAAAACTGATTTAAAGCCATCATCGGAACTTCTTGTAATGATATTTGAAA